ACCTACAGGGGGCCTGGTTAGGTCTTATGCTGGTTCCCCAGCTGTCAGTCTGGAGTCCATGAGCTCCCACTTGCTCAGGTCAGCTCTTTCTGTGGATTTCCCCAATATGGTTTTGACCCTTTCGCTTATCACTCCTCCCTCTGTGCAACTGGATTCCAGGAGTTTGGCTCAGTGTTTAGCTGTGAATCGCTGCTCTTGCTTCCATCAGCTACTGGGTGAAGGCTCTATGATGGTAATTTAGGTAGCCATCAATCTGATTATAGGGGAAGGGCATTTAAGATAGCTTCTTTACTATTGCTTAGATTCTTAGTTTGGTTCATCCTTGTGGGTTTCTGGGAATTTCCCTAGTGCCTGGTTTCTCATTAAACCCATAACAGCTCCCTCCCTCTGTGAAGGTGTCTCTTTCCTCAGTCTCCTTCTCTGTTCTTCCCCCAACTCACTCATCCTGATTCCTCATGTTCTCCTCCCCAGTCTGCTTTCCCCCTTCTCTGTGCTATCACCCTTCCCCCTCCCCCATGCTCCGAATTTACTCAGGAGAGCTTGCCCTTTTCCTCTTCTTGTAAGCACATGTATGTCTCTCTTGGGGTTATCCTTGTTTCCTAGCTTCTCTGGAGGTGTGAATTATAGGCTGGTGATCCTGTGCTTTATGTCTAAAATCCATATATGAGTGAGTTCCTCTTTTTGCGACTGGGTTACCTCACTCAAGATGGTTTCTTCTAGTTCCATCCACTTGCCTGCAAATTTCAAGATTCCATTTTTTTTTCTGATGAGTAGTATTCCATTGTGTAAATGTGCCACATTTTCTTTATCCGTTCTTGGGTTGAGGGGCATCTAGGTTGTTTCCAGGTCCTGGCTATTACAAATAGTGCTGCTATGAACATAGTTGAACAGATGTCCTTGTTGTATGATTGTGCATCCTTTGGGGGTATATGTCTAAGAGTGGGTATTGCTGGGTCTTGTGGTAGATTGAATCCCAGTTTTCTGAGAAATTGCCATACTGATTTCCCCATGGCTGTACAAGTTTGCACTCCCACCAGCAGTGTAGGAGTGTTCCCTTTTCTCCACATCCTCTCCACTATAAGCTGTCATTGGTGTTTTTGATCGTATCCATTCTGATCAGTGTAAGTTGGTATCTCAGAGTGGTTTTGATTTGCATTTCTCTAATGGCTAAGGATGTTGAGCAATTCCTTAAGTGCTGTTTTGGCCATTTGAGATACTTCCATTGAGAATTCACTAATTAGAACTGTAACCCATTTTTAAATTTAATTTATTATTTTACATGTCGATCCCAGTTCCCTCTCCCTCCCTCCCTCCCTCCCTCCCCCCCATTCCTCCCTCCCTCCTTCCCTCCCTTTTACCCTCTCTGCCCTCTCACATGCACTTTAAACACCCTCCCCTCCCATTCCCCCACTCCAATTCCATATGTAGGGGAATGCCATCCAGTTGGGGTCATGTAGATCTGACAGGTCCTGTGAAGTAGGGACTAGGGCTTCTCTCCTGTCTCTAGAATAAGGCAGTTATCCCTCCATGGGGGATATGTTCACAAGGTCCTTTTGTGCACCAGGGATACATCCTGGTTCCACTGTCTGAGGTCTCTTAGACTGCTCAGTCCTTCTGGCTGAGACCCATATTCAGGGGGGCCTGAGTCAGTCCCATGCTGGCTTCCCAGCTATCAGTCTAGTGGCCGTTAGCTACTCCTTGTTCAGGTAAGCTGTCTGTATGTGTTTCTGCAGCCTGGTCTTGTCCTCTCCATCTGCATCTGGGTTCTAGTTCGACTCAGTGTTTATGTATGGTTGTTTGCTCCTGTTTCCAACAGGCATTAGTTGAAGGCTCCATGGATAAGTTAGTTGTTGATCTCACTATCCAGGAAGGGCATTTATGGTAGCCTTTCCACGGAAGCTCAAATTGTTAGTTGGCGGCAGTCTTGTAGGTCTCTAGACCTTTCTTTGTGTTCAATTTTCTCTTCAAACCAATATTGGCTCCCTCTTTTATGTTCTCTCTCTCTCTCTCTCTCTCTCTCTCTCTCTCTCTCTCTCTGTCTGTCTCTCTCCTGTCTTTTATTCCTAACCGGACTCAATCTTCCTAGTCGCACGTGTTTTCCTCTCCTCCCTCTTGCTTTCTCCTACTTCTCTCTCCATTCACTGCCCTCCCCACTTCCCATGTGCTCTGGGGGACTTTTATCTTACCAGTTCTGTGAGGGACCTTGTATGAATCGCTTTGAATCCACCTTGTATCCTAGTTTCTCTGGTGTTGTGAATTATAGGCTGGTGATCCTTTGCTCTAGGTCTAAAATCCATACATGAGTGAGTATATACCACGTTTGTCTTTTTGTGACTGGGTTACCTCACTCAGGATGGTTTCTTCAAGTTCCATCCATTTGCCTGTGAATTTCAAAATTCCATTGTTTTTGTTTTTTCCCACTGAGTAGTATTCCATTGTGTAGATATGCCACATCTTCATTATCCATTCTTCAACTGAGGGGCATCTAGGTTGCTTCCAGGTTCTTGCTATTACAAATAATGCTGCTATGAACATAGTTGAAGAGATGTCTTTGTTGCATGGATGTGGATCATTTGGGTATATGCCTAAGAGGGGGATTGCCAGGTCCTGTGTTAGACTAATTCCCATTTTCCTGAGGAACTGCCATACTGATCTCCAAAATGGCTGTATGAGTTTGCACTCCCACCAGCAGTGGAGGAGTGTTCCCCTATATCCGACAAAGGGCTGATCTCCAAAATATACAAAGAACTCAAGAAACTAGTCAACAAAACACCAAATAATCCTATTAAAAATGGAGTACAGAACTGAATAGAGAACTCTCAATAGAGGAAATAAAAAATGCTGAAAAACACTTAAGAAAGTGCTCAACATCCTTAGCTATCAGGGAAATGCAAATCAAAACAGCTTTGAGATACCATCTTACTCCTGTCAGAATGGCTAAAATTAGAAACACCTGTAACCAATTTTTTAAATTGGATTATTTGGTGTTTTGATGTCTAGTTTCTTGAGTTCTTTGATTATTTTGGAGATCAGTCCTCTGCCAGATGTGGGGCTGGCAAAGATATTTTTCCATTCTGTAGGGTACTGTTTTGTCTTTTTGACCATGTCTTTTGTTTTATAGAAGCTTCTCAGTTTCAGGAGGTCCCATTTATTAATTGTTGCTCTCAAAGTCTGTGCTACTGGTGTTCTATTTATAAAGTGGTCTCCTGTGCCTATGCCTTCAAGGCTACTTCCCACTTTTACTTCTATCAGTTTCAATGTGGTTGGTTGTATGTTGAAGTCTTTGATCCATTTGGATTTGCGTTTTGTGCATGGCAATAGATGGAGATCTATTTGCATTCTTCCACATGTCAACATCCAGTTATATCAGCACCATTTGTTGAAGATGCTTTCTTTTTTTCCATTTTATATTCTTAGCTTCTTCATCAAAAATCAGGTGTTCATAGGTGTGCAGTGTCTTTGATTTGATTCTATTTGCCCATCTGTCTGTTTTTAGGACAATACCAAGCTGTTTTCATTGGTGTAGCTCTATAGTAAAGTTTGAAGTCAGAGATGGTGATGCTCTTTTACAGGAAAGATGATGATGTAGCTCTTTTACCAGCTTCACATCTAGCCAACACATATTTTGTATTTGGCCTTCTTGTACAATGCACACTGATGATTTCAGGTGCATGATTTCTAGGGGTTTACACAGTCAAACCCTCAAATCCAAGGGACTACTAGTCACAAATGAATAATTAGTGTGATTTATTTTCTTACTTTGTCTAACATTTTCTTTTCCTTGGAGTCAATATTTGTTCTCCCGTCTGGTTATTCTCTATTACCTGTATCAAGTTCAGCACTTCCATCAACTGTAGATGTAAAAATCTATTCATGTGTTAAAAGATGTCTGGTATTCTACCCACTTGATTCCCAGTAGTTCTCTGAAGGAACTTTGTATGTATGTATGTGTGCAGGCTAGGAGTTGATGTCAGAATGTCTTCCTCTATCTCTACCTTATGTTTTTATAACTTGTATTTAATATTTATTTTATGTATATGCATGTTTTGCCTGCCTGTATGTATGTGCACCATATGCATGCGTGGTACCAGAGGAAAGCTGAAGAAGGCATCAGATTCCCTGGAACTAGAGTTAAGGATATTTGTAAGCCACTATGTGGGTGCTAGGAACCAAACCCTGATCCTCTTAGTTTAGGGGGCTGGCCAATGAGCCACTGGTATTCTCCTGTTTCCACCCGCAGCACTGGGGTTACAGATGTTGGAGATCCAAACTCAGGCCCTCAATTTACACACTGAGCCATCTCCCCAGCCCCAAAGGAGCCTTTAATTTGCTTTCCAGGCCTGCTGTCCAGTCATGAGCACAGGGTTTCCTTTGTCATCTGGGAAATAGAAAGTGATCTTTGCTTCATCCTTCCTCCTTTCCCTCTCCATCCCTCCATCCAGTACCCTGTTTCCTAAATCCCTTGTTCATGTGGTAGTCTATTATATGTGCCATAAAAAATCAGGAGAAAGATTGTAGAGGAAGTAACTATTTGCGTTGTTTCATGTCTGAAAATGTTTTGCTGTACATTCACAGTTAGAGTTGGGAATGTGAGCAGAAAGTTTTACCTCATATGAGGCCCTGGGTTCAATCTCTAGAATGGGAAAGGGTGGGAAGGAAAGTAGAGGCAGGGGGAAACAACAGAAAAGAATTCAAAAGAAAAGGGAAGGGAGAAAAGGAAGGAAAAGGGAAAAGAAGAGTCCTTAACTTAGATAATGGTTTTGTTATAAAATAAATTATAAGTTGGAAATAATTTATCTTTCAAGCTTTGAAGGCATTTCTTCACTGCCTTCTAGTTGTGCTGAGAAGTCTGAAGACATTTTGACTTCCAATTCTTTGAATCTGACTTGATTTATTTTTCTCCAACAGCATATCTCTTACTACTGGTATTGAAGATACTATTCAGCCATATTCTTGATTATATTAATGATATCAAGAAGTCAGATTGCAACCTAAAAGTCATGGTTTTAAAGGTAATATGTTTTCCCCCTCTAGTTTTAATATCTTGTTTCTTGATGCAGATATATTTCTGAGTTTTTTTCCTACTTGGCATTTATTAAGCTTCTTAATGTGTGGATTTGGGGCATTTATTCATTCTAAAAAAACTCTTACATATTACCTCTTCAAATATTCATTCTATCTTCTCACTCTGGTACAGTGAGAAGATTTTTGTTAGACCTCCTTGTCCTGTCTTCTGTTTCTACTTCTAAAACTTCTATTTCTTTATTTCTCTGTGGGGAATTCTGGATACCTTTGTTTCAGTTCTGTTTTGCTATTTACCAGTTTTATCTGATCATATAAAATCTGCTATTAAATTCATCTGTTGAACACTTAAAACATTTTTAAAATTGCAGAATCTGGAATTTGCACATAAAGGTGCAGAAAACATAAACATATATCTTAAGAAATAATTATAAGTAACCACACTCAAAACCACCTTCAGGGAAATTGTTCTTCTGATGCTTACACTATTCATGACTAGGTTTTGTCTTTATAGTTTGTCACCTATATAGAAATCCCTGTACAATATTACAACATTTTGCATGCTCTTAAAATTTATCCAAACAGAACCAAATACAATGTGATGTTTTCTGTTCCACATTATGCTTGTAAGATTCCTTCATATTTCTCAAGGATGTGGTTTATTTCCTTTGTTTTATAGTAGTATATTGTCCTTATTTGACTCCCTGCCTATTTTTGCCTCACTAATTCTTAGAAAATAATGTGTTAGACAAGTAATTTCATGAATGGGTAAATCTGTCCGGGTAGAAATTTCTCTACCTACCATCTTCCCAGAAGTAGCAGTACAACCATTGGTATTAGTGGAAATAAGCTTACTTTATAAGCTCCGTAATAATTGAGATATATAACTGGTAATTCTTGGAAGAGATAATAGGAAGAGAGACTCAAGACCAGTGAGAGAGATGTAGATGTCAAATTTTACCTACCTGAGGTTTGTAGTAGGATACCAGCAAGAAGTTGGGTGTTGAAAAGGAAGAAGTTAGGGGCCTAGAAAATGAACTCCACCTCCCCACATTCTGTGTTGTGTGCATCTTAAATACACAAACTTTATATAAATCACTGTCTATGCATACATGTATTTTTCTGAAGTGAATCCATACATGTTCAAATCTTCTATTTGATGAAGCTCACAGAGCACATGTTGCATGTTTTATTGTTTCCCAATGTAGGTGGAAAGCACCAAGAGCTCAAGTGCAACCTTGCCCCCCAACGTGCCTTCCTACAGGTCCCTGTCCTCCCATGAGGATTGCCCTAGCAGCCACACCAGTTTCTCAGATGGTGAGCTTGCTCGGAATGTGAGGGAAGGTGTCAAGCATCGAATCTTCTACCTTTCAGAGCAGCTGAGAGTGGAGAAAGCCAGTAGGGATGAGAATACCATGAGCTACCTCAAGCTGGTATCCAAAGCTGACCGACATCAGGCTGCACATATCCGGCAGGCCTTTGAGAGGGTGAACCAGCGCACCTCTGCCACTATTGCTCACATAGAACGAAAGCTATATCAGTGTCACCTGCAGCTGAAGGAGCTGGAAGAGGGCTGCAGCCCTACAAGCTCAGTGCTGAAAGTGGGCAGTGGTGTGGACAGTTGTAAGCAGCCTGGTGCAAAGGTCTCATACTCCAAGTTGTCCAAGCCAGGTGGGGAAGATAGCATGCCCATCAATATAGCTAGACCCTACCCTCTGGAGAATCACTTGTCAGGCATGCAACAGAGGAAATTCTCGGACAAAAAGTATGTGGCTCAGCAACGAAAGCTGCTGTTGCAGAAGATGAAGGAAGAACTGACAGAAGCTAAGACGGTCCATGTTGGTCTTCAGGTCTCCCATCAAAGCCTCAAAGAAAGTCATGTAACTAATGTGCGGGAGATACTGGAATCCCTCCAGGAAAAGAAAGCCAGGTGAGGAAAGCCCCTTTTTACATCTTGGCTCCCAAGACAAGAAGCAGTCAAGACATAATTTGAAGGGTTGAGAAGGAGCCAGAAAAGAGTCAGGGTGAAGGCAGGTGAGAAGAGCTAGTCTGTGATTCTCTTTAGTGGCTGTTACCTACAGTGGAATGAGTGGTTCTTAGTGGTTCTTTTTCTGTTGCCCTACACCAACCTTTGTCCCTTACTAGTTAAATAGGGTGCCTGCTAGGAAGTTTGCTTGATGCAGTGCAACAATAGAGGCAACCAGGTGCAGTGGGACCCTGGCTGACTGCTCATATTAGAGAGGTAATGTCCCCTATGTCTCATTTGCTAGGGAAATTTGTCAGGACTCAAGTCTGGAGTATAATGTCAAGCAGCATGTATTGTATATTCAGTTCGAAAGTGACATTTTGTGAGTGCTTTCACATCAGTTTGCTGTGCCAGTTTTTTTTTTTTTTTTTTTTTTTTTTGGTCTAAGACAAAATAGGTCCAACAACTTAAAAAGAGGCAAGACAGGTATTCACTATGTAGTGAATTATTTAAGGCCAGCCTTCAAAACTTATTGAGACTCTGTCTTGGGTACCTTGATTCCTGTCATGTCACCATCAACATAGTCATTGATAAATTAATACAAATACACTCAACAGCCTAGCAAGAGAGGGAGGGGTTGATTCAATAATTCAAGAGTCTCAGCATATTCATGAAAATAAGGACTTTGCAGTTATTTTAGTGCTTACACATACAAGGAGGAAAATGCAAATGGAAATCATCATCTTGGGTTTCCTCAGGGACTCCTAGGAACATTTATGTATTATGTTTTTGTTAGGATGTGTTACGTTGTATGTACATGTCTATGGACCTGAGTCTTTACAGAGTTTATGGATGGTTCACAAAAGATGGTTGGTAAAAATCTTGATTATTTTTCTTTTTGTTAAGTTATCTCAATAAAAGCTCCATAGAACTAAAAAAAATCTGTAAGAGGAAATAAGTGAGCACCATAAAGAAGCCTGTCATTAAGTAAACTAGCTACTGAGAAATACAGGTTTAGACAGGTTTCACTACTATTACTATTATTAATTATTATTATTATTTTATTATTATTTTTGAGTTTTTGATTTTTTGAGACAGGGCTTCTCTGTGTAGCTTTGTAAACAAGGCTGGCCTTGAATTCACAGAGATCCACCCATCTCTGCCTTCCAAGTGCTGGGATTAAAAGCATATACCACCACTGACCTGCTTACTATTATTATTTTTATTGTGTATATTCATAGACAATTTTATTTCTACTTTCATTTCACATACATACATGATTTTATGCATTTTAATGTTTTTATTTATTTTTATTTTCTTTGTTTTTTATTGAGACAGGGTTCCAGGGCAGGCTCCAAAGCTACAGAGAAACCCTGTCTCAAAAAACCAAAGATAGAGAAAGGCGCAGAGAGAGACAGAGACAAAGAGAGAAAGAGAGAGAGAGAGAGAGAAATCTATTAAGAGTGGCCCTAAGCCAGGTGTGCTTGTACACTTGTACACACCTAATCCTAGAACTCAGACACAGACAAGAAAATCACTATGACTTTGAGGCCAGGTGGGGCAATATAGCAAAACTAAAAATGAAACAAAACAAATACAAGAGTGGCCATAAGCTAAAATATCTACTGTCAAGGAGTTGTTAGGGTTCTTATGTCAGGGAATACCTAGGAGAAGATGAAACTAAAATTTAGCAGGAAGCAGAAGAGGTTGATTTTTCATAGGTGAGGGGTACTAGTGACTGCAAATAGCAGGGATCCAGCCCGTGACCATTAGTCCTCTCTAGCATTGTCAGATGACTGGTACTACACATGGGCTTTATATACCAGATGCCAATAGCACCCTGTCTACCTTGGTTTACTTTTGTTGCCATCACATAATACTCCAACTTGGTGGCTTGAAATAACCTGAATTTATTCTCTCACAGTTTTAGAGTCTAGACCTCTAAAGTTAGTTTTACTAGGCAAGGTCACACTGTCTTCTCTGGTTCCTGGTGGCTGTTACATACATTAGTTTGTGGGCTGGAATCTTCAAATCACTTTTTCGTCCTCTGTTTTTCCTCTCCACTTCTCTTTTCTCCTCCCCTCTCTTTTCATTTCATGTTTCCTTGCTTTGGCTTTTTGAGACATGGCCCCACATTTCTCAGACTGGTCTTAAACTTACTATGTAGCTGAGGATGACCCTGAACTTCTGGTCCTCCTGTCTCCACCTGCCAAGTTTTGAGAATAGAGGAGGGTACTACTGCACATGGCCCATCAAAGTTCTCATTTCTTTGTCTTCACAAGGCCTTCTCTATGGTGTGTTTAATTTCTATCTGCCTAAAACTTCATGGGGATTACAGGTAAAAGTTTACGGTAGAACATTTGCACATGACACACAATCCCTGGGTTCCTTCCCCAGCACTACACACAAAGATAAAGAATACTTGTGATCACATTTACAGCCTACCAGTATAATCTCCACATCTCAATATTCTTAACTGTATCATTTCTAGAAAGTATCTTTTAAAATTATTTTGTGAAATTTCAATGAAAAACAATATTATTTTACATACCAACCCCAATTCCCTCTTCCTCCCATCCTCCCACTTGCCTCTAGAAAGACTCTCTTTGGGATTAAAACATGGCTATCTTTTAGGGAACCATTTTTAGCCTACCAGTTCTTCTCAGCTTGCGACAAGCAAAGATGACTCCAGACATTTCCAAATATTACATGGAAAACAAGTTGCTCTGAAAACCATTATCCTAAGTACATGATAACAGTGGGTATAACTTAACATTTCTCTCTCTAGTTATTATTGGTTGATGTTGAGACTTTTTCATCTGCTTATGGCCATTTGTACCTTTTTCTTTATCAAATTCCTATTGAAGTCGTTGGCTTGCTTTCAGACTTGTATAGTTTTGTCTTTTTGTTGTTGAATTATAAGAGCTCTTCATATCTTTTTAAATACTGATCCTGTCACATAGGTGATTTGAGATCTCCAATCACTCAAGAGAGAATCCTAGATTTAGGCATAGCATCTTCTTTGGTAGAGCTGAATAGCTTGAGTCAAAGATTAAAATAGCAATAATCATTTCCAAGTCTGAATAGCTTTAGGCAAAGCTTAAAGTAGCAACATTCATTTCTAAGCTTGTAAAATTGAATTAATCTGATAATTTCACTCTTGTTGGCCCTGTTTTGAGAATTAGCTTGGTCAATGTTTGGGTTTAGACCCCACACAAACCGGAATTAATAAACACTCTCTGCTTTTCTCTCTGAAAACTAAGCTCTTGCAAGATTGTAGAAAAATCAACAGAGTACCCCAGGATAAAGATCTTGTCAGGCTGTTGGCCTGACCTTGACTTCCTCTTCTTTCCTTCAGGCAATGTCTCTTGGGTTTCTCATGCTCTCTCCTCTCCACCAGCATCTCAGTGCCCACACTACCCCCATGATTCTGGCTATCTGTCATATTTTAGAATATTTTCTGTGTTGAGAACATCAGTCTTGCTTTATATTTCTAGTTATATTCACACATGATGGCATTCATGAACATTTTTCATAGTTCACCTTGCACATGAGTTCCTACTTGATTGAAAATGCACGAAGTGAATATTCTGCGTTTCTGTGCTTTTTTTTTCCTCTTCTACATTCCAGAACTTTAGAAGCTTCCAATCTCTAGGTCCTCTGTCCAGGAATATTCCATTACGATTTCCTTTGAGACAAGATTCAGAATTCAAAGATTATATATAACAGAGCCTTTTCAGTTGCTAAAGATCACTTTGCCCCGGTGATATAATATAGGGTTGACTTCTCAAGGAAGCTGCTTATGCTTCTTTTGTATTCTCAGACTATGTTGGTCAGAGGGCTCAAAAATTGTCACTTCTTTTTATTTATCTATTCATATTTATTTATTTATTTTACTTCCTCACTGCAGTCTCCCCTCCCTCTTCTCCTCCCATCCCACCCCTCCTCCTCCCTTCCACCCCCCAGCCACCTCTCCTCCCTAATCTCTCAGAAAGGATCAGGCCTCCCATAGACTTCAGCTAATCCTGGCACATCAAACTGATGTAAGACCAAACACCTCCCCCTCCCTAAGAAGGGGAAATAAAGGAGATCTTGTTGAACTGGGGGTGGGAACTTGAGGAATCAGGTTGGGGAGTGCTAGGAACGGGGACAGTTATGAAACAGATGACTGGAAAGGGGGACTTCATGGAGTTTGGTAGAAGAATTGTCATTCCTATTGGGTTTCATTTCAGTCAAGTAGGAACCTCGTGCATCTTGCTAACCAGAGATGGAATATTTAAAAAATTATTTATTTTTATTTTATGTGTATGAATGTTTTGCCTGTATGTGTATAAGAGCACTAAATGTGTGCCTGCTGCCTGTGGAGGCCAGAAAAGGGTATATTCCCTGGAGTTGTAGACAGTTGTGAGTTGCCATGTGGATGCTGGGAACAGAATCCAGGACCTCTGCAAGAACAGCAAGTACTCTTAACCACGGAGCCTCCTCTATGTGTTTTCTTTTTAATAGGTTTTTGGGTTTCAGGTCTTATATTAAGGTCTTTGATTTATTTTGAGTTTTTCCTACTTTATTTACTACTGTCATATTGTCTATAATGATGGGCACATGTGAGAAGTTCAGAAGACAGCTCTATGGATTTAGTTTTCTCCCCCCACCTTTATGTGGGTCAGTGGATTGATCAAGATAATTCCATTGCTTAAACCAATTGCTTGTTAAAAATAGCAGTATAGAGTACAGCAATGTGTGTGAGAGGCACTATTTTCTTTAGCTCTCTATAATCCACAATCATTCTCTATGAATTGTCTGGGTTCCTTGTCCTGGAGTGCTGCCAGGGGTTTGACTAACTATTTACTTTTTCTGTTGTAGTGATTAAAAAAATCTTGACAAACTCAAGGGAGAAAGAGCTTATTTTGGCTCACAATTGGAGGGTAAAGTTCATCATTTCAGGGAACTCATGGCAGGAGGAGCTGACAGTCACCCACAGTCAGGAAGCAAAGAATGATGAACGTGCATGCTCAGTTATATTTCATCTTTTAATAGTTTTGTTATATTTATTTATTTCTATGTGTATATGGGCACATGTGGAGGTCACAGCAAAACTTTCAGGAGTCAGTTCTCTCCTACCGTGTGGAATTGAACTTAGGTGGTCAGACCTGGCAGAGTCATTTACCCCTGTATTATTTCTAAAGTATATCTTTTCTGGGCATAGAATTCTGGGTTAGCATTTATTTATTTGAAATATTATGCATTTGAAAAACAACCCATTCTGTCTTCTCTAGCTTGCATTGAAAAGGTTGTATTAATACTAATGACAGTAAAGACCATGACAAAAATTTTTGGTTAAATTAAATAACTTTTATTTTCTATCAGACAGGACTGTCTCCCTAAAGCAAGGCTTGAGAGAATAGCATTGAATATAGGAGAAAATGGGGCTTATATAGCTCAAAAGCTCCAAGGCTAGGAGATTTCTAAGGGTTTTTTTTTTTTTTTTTTTTTTTTTTTTAACAATGGACCTTGGCAGAACATTTTATCTTACCAGGGTGGAGGTCAGAAGTGTGGTTGGAGTGTAAGGTGTGGAACATGTCAAATTCTGGAAAATGGGTAAAGTCTTTCATGTGATTGCCCTCCCACCTACTTTATTAGATTCTATCAGTCCCCAGACAGACTACTGATGAGTTGTATCCATCAACCCTCATGACTCCCTGGCCATCCACTCCACCCTCATTCTTAAGTTCTCCAGCCTCCACTCCACTCCTCTCCTATAATCACCTGACTCAAGCTAAATGGTGTTCTTCCTAGTCTATTAACACTATTTACATTGCCTATTTCATTATCTAGTTATATTTGATGCTTTTTATCACTATACCTTTTCACAAATACTTTCCTCTGCTCTGCTTGGAATGAAACGATCAGAGAGTCCTCTTTGGTAGCCTGGCTCCTGTTCTTTTGCCTGTCCTTCATGGGGTCCAGATAAGGAACTTCAAAAAAGTTTTTCTACTGTAAATCAAATATTAACACTCACCACATATTTCCTTCTTTTTTTTTTTGTTAAAGGAATAAAACTTCAAAAGATTCAGTTGTTTTGGTTGTATGGGTTAGGGATGTAGTTCAATGGTCAGGTGCTTGCCTAGTATGTGCAAGGCTCCAGTTTTCATCTTCAGTCTCTCTCTCTCTCTCTCTCTCTCTCTCTCTCTCTCTCTCTCTCTCTCTCACACACACACACACACACACACACACACACAGAGAGATTCAGAGGTACTCTCCTGGTATCTCTTACTCCAAGTTCTTTGTCTGACTTCACATACCCTCAATAGTGTGCTAATCTTTTGTATGTATGCTATAATACTTTCTTATTTATGTTTATATACATAATAAGTAATATATTTAGCTTGTATTTTTAAACATCTGTGTTGAGATATAATTTGCATGTCATAAAATGCACCATTTTAATCACATTTCAATGGTTTTCATTAAATTTACTGAGTTGTGTGACCATTAATACAATCCAATGTTTGCTTTTAATTGAATAACTTTATTGACTTATAATTCACATCACATTCATTCCATTCATTTAAAGTATACAATTCAGCTTGGCTTAGTGGCACATGCCTGTAATTGCAGCACTCAGGAGGCAGAGGGAGGAGGATTGAAAGTTTAAAACTACCCTGGACTAAAAACTACCCTGGACTACAGTGTGAAATTCTATCTCTCTTCCCAAATGTATACAATTTTAGTGGGGTTTTAGTAAAGTCACAGTTAATCCACTACCAAATGTCACTTTTTTATTATCCCTGAAATAGAGATACATTTGTGGAATAACACCTGTATCCTCAACGCTGCTCCTGGGGTATTTGATAGCATATACAGATAGCTTAAATTTTTTTTCTATACCTTCTAGTCTATGGCATATTTGGTAAAACTCTCTTTCCCTCTCCCATTTCTCTCTCTCCCTCTCTCCCTTTTCCATTCTCTCTCTGCCTTTCTTTCCTCCTCTCCTAAAGCTCTTGTCCCCAGAGGCCTGTCTCCTCCCTCCCCTCCCCCTTCCTAATTCCCTCCCCTCAATTAAAAAAAAAAACTCTCCATGAAAGCTTTGTCACATGATGGCGTCTCTCTCTGTCTCTCTCTCTCTCCTTTTTTTCAAACAACAGCATTACTAGAGAATAATTATAAATAATATCTATTAGTATAAGTATTCCCAGACAGAGGTAGAGGAGGCAGCAGCCATCTTTGACTGAATTCTAGTTGGAGAGGGGGCATGGTAGGGGTAGTAGATCCAGCTGCAGAGTGCTCTTTGCCAGAATAAGCTCTGAATAAGCTACAGAGGTAATGTTACTTGTCTCTTGCTTTCTAGACAATCACTGATGGAAGAACAGGCAAATGATCACTTGCAGAGATACTTGGATGAGATTTGCCACCTCAAACAGCATTTAGCATGCACTGAAGAGAAAATGGCCTATTTATCCTATGAAAGAGCCAAAGAAATATGGGTGAGAGCCTCAGGGAGAAAGGGCTAGGAGAGATGAGTAAATCTATGTATATCCCAAGCCAAGGCAAGAGAAGATCTAGCTGTACCTACCCTGATGGTGCAGTGGTAACCTGTACCTTTGCTTTAGAACAAGCACTACCTTGCTTCTTCCTGTAGGAGCAATCACTGAGCCATAGCCTGCAGTCTGTCATCTACAGCTCAGGGGTAAAGCCTGACAAACCCAAGGGATGCTGAGGTGTTTGCATTGCTGCTAGCAGAGGGAAAGCTTCTGGGAACCCCTTCTTTGGGTCTAGCCTCCTGCCCCTCAGTTCTTTCTGCTCATAGCTCCTACTGCTGCCTCTGGTTAACCTTTTCCCACCTAGGTCCTTAGTCTCAGCAGTAGATACTCATTAGCCCAGCATTTCCCAGCAAATGTCTTGTCTCTGCTGTGCAAGTCCTAGTTCTCCCTATCTGTCCTAAAAGATTCAACTTGTCAGGTGTGAAGGCACAGGCCTTTAATCCTAGGACTTGGGAGGAAGAGGCAAGTAGATCTCTGAGTTTGAAAACAGCCTTGTCTTCATAGCAAATTTCAGGTCAGCTGGAAGTATACAATGAGATCTTGTATCAAATAAATAAATAAGAAAGAAAAAAAGAGAGATAAAACAGAAAAAAAAAAAAAGGATTCATCTCAACAGTACTTCTTGAATACCCCTAAGCAAATAAATTACTAAATTAGATAAGCACATTTCTGTTCTGACTTCTGGTGTCTATATATGTTTGTTACCTACAGGATGTAATGGAGACTTTCAAGAGCAGAATAACCAAGCTAGAAACTCTACAGCAAGCTACCCAACTGGAGATGATGGCCAGCCTCAGAACCCGTCCCAAGGACTTTTTGTTCAGATTTGTAAGCCTGCTTCTCACACTGACCACTGTCCTCTTGGTCTTGGTCTCTACCTTGTGTTCTTGCCCCTTGCCTCTGCTTAACTCACGCCTGCGTACATTCACTGTATTCGTGTTGATTGGCCTTGGGTTCTTGGCTTGGCAGAAGCGGCATATCATCTCCATCATGGACTGGCAGGCCTGGGTCCCCTTCAAGTGGAAACAAGACTTCAAGGATACTAAACCTCCATTAGATGGACACTGAGGGGCAAGGAGTCTAATCCACCTGAATTTGTTCATTATTTCCCTTTTCAGATGTTGAAGGCATCTAGTAAGCCTTCCCTAGAGAGCTACTTTGTTGCTGTCATTTTCTTAATCCTGTAACCACCAGTCCAGTGAGATATATGCAGATGCCAACTTGCCTTCTCCTTGAAGTTTTCCATGATCTTTTCATAATATCTATAGACATGGGGATTGGATTAAAAATGAAATAAACCATATGTTATAAATTAAAAACGAAAGAAACCATATGTTTCTTTGTCTACATTGTACTCTCTACACATGTGGTGCCTGAACACCCAGTAGCATAGATAACCCCAAATTGTAGTAGCCATCTCTGGGACTTTGATTGGGGAAGGGGAAATTATTATGTGTATTTCACAAGGATGGAGGAGAAGAGAAGTAAGACATGGCCAAAGCTTTGGTGGAAGGGACAGGTTGGAGGCAGACCTCATGCAGGCGACACTGAAGAGATGGGTAAGACTTCTGTTTTAGAGGTGCTGGAAAGTTCAGAGCTATCATCAACCTTCTTTCCAAAGAGCTGTAAGATGCAGTTTCGAAACTAGAAGGACAGAAAGCATTATTCAGCAAAGCAGAAACGGCTAGTACACTGTGCTAAAGGCGAGGCTTAGGACATTTGGCACTTTCTCTTCGTGGATGTACACCTTCCCTTCTTCTATTCAGAATACCATGAGTGGGATGAGGAAGGCTCAGTTCATTCTTTACACACATGAATGGAGGAGGTCTAAATCATCTAATTTAGTGGTTAGTGGTGATTCTAGTTGAATTGTGACTGCTCCTAAAAATGGCAAACCCTAATTACTGGAACCTGTGACTATGTCTTTTTTGAAACTGGAATCTTTGCATATCTATGTTACAATGAGATCATACTGGATTAGGATTGTCACTAGCCCAGTGACCAGTGTTCTTGCGAGGAGAGGAAGATGTAGACAATACTATACATAAGGAAAAATGATTATGTGAAGAATAATATTGGGGCAGCATGTCCGTGATCATAGGACAAGGGAGGCTGGGAGAGAGAGAGAAGACTAATACTCTCTAAGCACCTCAAGAAGGAACAATAATAATACTGACACATAAACCTCATATTTCTGGACTCCACAACTGTGAGAAACTTAATTCCTATTTTCTTCTTCGTTTGTTTATTTGTTGCATACTAGGAACTTAGCCTAGGGCTCTGTTTATACTAGGCAAGTACTCTGCCACTGAGCTACAATTCTGTTGTCTTAAGTCATAAACCTTATGGAATTTATTGTGGTAGCCTCAGGATACTTAGGCAGTGACCAAAACCACTGCCAACTAAGGAGCTCAGCTACAAAGCTTTGAGAACACAAACTAAAAGTGTCACCTAATTTCAGTTCTATTTGGGATTATCTCCATTCCCTCTAACATTAAAACTCTCAAGTTGACATTGATAGCATGAAAGATGGACTAAATAACAACATGAACTTAACTGAAAAACTGGCAGATAAGGCAAGAAATCCATTCAGCATCTACTTACTGAGGTCTTACTTCATTACTGACTCTATTCTGGAAGGAGATAGCAGTGAACAAGAATGGAATCCCCTGTTCCATTTTTCTTGGAATATGGCAGAATGAGGGAAAACAAAATTTACACACCTGGCCACCTTTGTTTCCTGTCTTTCACAAGGATCTATTTCTAGGACTGCTTTCAGTTTTTGGAAGAGGAGATCTGGGGTAGAGAATTTGCCTGACATGCACCAGGCCCTGTGTTCCATTTAAGAGGAAGGAAGATGATAGAGGAAAGAGGAATGAATCGATTGGAAAGACTCGGAGTCTGATGAAATGAGAGGCCCCAGTTAACACTTCTGATTACTAATAACTCACACAGTAGATGCCCCTTAATGAAATGCATATGATGGATTCAAGGAAAAAAGAAAGCAAATGACACTCAGAAGGTGATGAACCTTCTTAAGGTTCATGTATAACCTACTAGAAGGGTCTAAGAGTCATAAGCAACTTGTGTCAAAGTCCAGTATGGCAGCTATGGATGGTTTCCATCAGACAAGACCCTCTCTGAACTAATTCATGAGTTCATAAAAGCTTGTAAACTCTTAGCTAGTGTAGTCAAGAAAGGCTAAACTTTTAAGGAGGCAAAAATCCCAAAGTCAAGGTAAGAAAATGGAAAAATTTTGAGTTGAGTCTGTAAATACAAGAGGAGCAAAACTAGCTGGGGTTATTGTATGCTCATGGAGTGCTTAGTACATCTATATTTTAGCAGCACCTTTAGAAGATTCCTGTCCATAGTTATGTGGTCATCAGAAGGGAAGTACTTGTAGTGCACTGCACTTTCTTAAGTGTCCAGACTTAGGTGAACATAGTGCAAAGGTACCAGAGCTCATGGTTAAGGGGAGGTCTGGCGAGTGTAGGTCACATGAAGAGCCTTTCCACACTCATTTTCTTGGAGGAGCATCATCAGTCCCCACCCCCAGTTTCTCCATAAGGCTTTCTCATTGATGACTTGATTCCAGGTAAGAACCTTCACTGAGTTATGGGCCATTTTGAAATGAATCTGTGCATGCTCTTGCTTACCTGCCGGTTCATAAAGACATAGATAATGGGGTTGTAGATAGTGGCACTCTTGGCAAAGTAGGATGGTATGGAGGCCACAAGAGGGTGGAAAGCATAGCCAGGGTGGGCAGTAGCAAAGCATGCAAAAAAAGCATAGGGTCCCCAGCAGAGGCAGTATGCGAAGATCATCACCACTACCATTCGTGTCACCTCCTTCTCGGCCTTTTGGGTGGATTCAGATTCTTTCTGTTGCTTTGCCACCTAGAGAAGACAAGGACAATGAATAGGGAAATCAGTTAGGGTTCTATATCTGGAGGGAATATTGCTACTTCCCAAGCATTGAGTAAGGACACTATCAAGGCGAAGGAAATCTAAGGATCTATGGGAGTAGGAAATGCTCCACCTAGTGTTCCAATCTTGGGTCCTACCCTAAGTCAATGAATGGCTTGACTTGACATCCAGAGTGGTCCTGGAGCTTTGTAGGAGTTCCTATAGGCCTTGAGGTAACAAGTGGCTGGACTGGCCAAGGTCACCCTCAGACAAGACTTTTGAAGTTGTAGTCTGTAATTTCACAGAAGCTTGTGAAGGAGAACTACGGAGACAGAGCTTAGCCTTTATATGATCCCTTCCAAAAAGATCTAGTCTTGTGCTCAGGTTTCATTCTGGAGTCCTGAACTGAGCCCTAGAAGTCAAGTTTGCTTTAACAAAACCAGGCCTGGCAGGGTGCCTAGCAGCAATGCAAGAGCCATATACACACTTTCCCCAGGCTTTCTAGAGGATAGAGGCCAGCCATTATCTACCCTGGAAGGCAGTTATCTGTAAAAGGAACTATGAGGGCTAGAATCCAGGGTTTTGCTAGCCAAGAGCTAATAATGCTAAAGCTTGAAGGAAACTCTATGGGAGCTAACTAAATTGATTCTGATATGGGGCAACCAACCCAGGGACCAAATTGCAGCCTTCATTACAAGACACAAAAGTGAGTGGAGCCTTCTGGTGTAGTTCATGGTCTTTTCCAGAAAGACCTTATAAATACCTGTTCATTCAGGGGTGAGCACAAAGCAGCTATATAGGAAAAGCACCACCTGGAGGGACTTTCTGTTACATAGGGTCTCATCAATGAACAAATAGAACATGGAATAAATGGTAGGGGAGTTGTTTGACAAAGGGGCAATTAGTGCTGGAGAGGGAGACCAGTAGAGGAGCACAGACCTCTCAGCATACAGTACCCAGGTCACACATCTCCTTACTACCTTTTTTTTTTTTTTTGCTGGGGAATCTCCAGTGGTAGCCTGGTCCAGTGGTAGCGGGATAAGGATTGCTGACAGAATTGGCATTCTAGGATGGAACACCAGACACAGGACTGTGGAGAGCAGGTCTGAGGGCAAATAGCACCATTTAGTCCTCTTCTTGATCTTACCCAAGAGTCCCATTGTGGTGGTTTGAATGAGAATGGCCTCATAGGCTCATATATTTGAATGACTGGTCCCTAGTTGGTGAAATGGTCTTATAAGGATTAGGAGGTGTGGCTTTGTTGGAGGATGTGCATCACTAGGGTTGAGCTTTGAGATTTAGAAAGACCATGCCAGGGTCAGTCCCTCTCTGTCTCTCTCTCTCTGTCTCTCTCTCTGTGTCTCTCTCAAAACAGGGTTTCTCTGTAGCTTTAGAGCATGCTGTCCTGGAACTTTGTAGACCAGGATAGTGTTGAACTCACAGAGATCCACCTGCCTGTGCCTCCCTAGTGCTGGGATTAAAGGTGCCACCACTGCCCAGTTGGTCTATCTCTTTCTTACGAATCAGGATATAAGCTCTCAGCTACTGCACCATCACCATGCCTGCCTACCCACTGCCATGCTTTCAATCATGATGGTCATGGACTCACCCTCTGAAACTATAAGCTTCCCCTAATTAGATGCATTCTTTTTATAAGTTGCCTTGGTCATGATGTCTCTTACCAGCCATAGAACAATAAATAAGACTCCTGTGAAGGGGATGCAGGTGCTCTGTAGATTATGCTCCATGGGAGGATTGTTCTGGGCCAGGGGAAAGGCACAGTTCTGCTCACTTATTGGGTCCTCTAGGAATGGACAGGCAGTCACTTTCCATCCCATAGGAGTGAGAACAAGGAAGCCAGGGTTAAAACTGCAAGAACTTCATTCATGTGTATCAGTGTTGTTGTGTCTGGATAACACTATTTCCTTGGAGTCATTCACCACTTCTAGATCTTACAATCTTTCTGACTCCTTTTCTGCATAGATCCCTGAGCCCTGAGTATAGGAGTTTGATTAAAAAAATCCCATTTAGGGCACATACAAGACCTACACAAGTTTAAACCATAGAAAATTATAACATAGAGAGGTAGAAGTCCCACCTCTAACCAAGAAGCTATTTGCAACTAATATATGCTGGTAAATGGAAAATCAGTTTTGTACAATG